TGTTTTCAAGATTAGACTATTGGCTTGTTCCAGCTGATTTTATGCACAGGGTTTACTCAACCGATATCAGACCTGCATTAAAGTGTGACCACAATGCTGTTTCACTTACGATTAAGGTTCATGAACAGAAGCGTGGGAAAGGTATTTGGAAACTAAACTGCTCTCTGCTTGAGGACGAGACATATAGAACAAATGTCACAGATGTTATTCGAAAACTAAAACTTGAATATAGACACTTAGATTTGCAACAAAAATGGGAACTTTGTAAAATAAAGATAAAGGAATTTAGTATGAAATATGCAATAGATGTGAATAAAAAGAAAAAATGTTACATTGTTAATTTAGAAAAAGAATTAAGAGATCTATGTGAAAATGAATGTAACCTATCTGTAGAGGATAACGATAGAATGAAGAAACTAAAAAATAATATTGACAAATGGTATACATATCAATGTAGAGGTGCTTTTGTACGTTCAAGGGAGAAATGGTTAGAAAAGGGTGAAAAATCAAATAGATATTTCTTGCAACTCGAAAAGAGAAGGGGCCAGAAAAAAGAAATAGACTCTTTAGAAGTTAATGGGAAAATTCAGAAAGATAATATTTTAAAGCACATACATAGTTATTATACGAATTTGTATTCAATCGATGATCATCAATATAGCTCTCACGACGTGTTTACAAACATAGATATTCATTCATTGTGCGAAGAAGAAGCAGACAGCTGCGAAGATTTACTTACTGAAGCAGAATGTTGGAACTCATTAAAAGGCATGAATAATAATAAATCGCCAGGCAGTGATGGCCTAACAGTGGAATTCTATAAATGTTTCTGGTCAGAGATAAAAGACCTGGTGTTGGAAAGTCTGAATACGGGATTTTGTAATGGGGAGTTGTCATGGTCACAAAAACAATCTGTTCTTACTCTTATGTATAAAAAAAGGTCCTAAGACGCGCCTTGGCAACTGGCGGCCAATATCATTACTCAATGTCGATTACAAAATCGCTGCTCGTGCCTTGTCACATAGACTGAAGCGTGTAATAAATACTATAGTATCGGTCGATCAGTCGGGTTTTATGAAAGGAAGGTCAGCTACTGAAAACGTACGTCTTATACAAGATATAATAGACTATTGTGAGTCAGAACATGTTCCGGGTATTATTATGTTTATCGATTTCAAACAAGCTTTTGACAATGTTAATCATTCTTTTCTTTTTAAAACGTTGGAAATATTTGGGTTCAAAGATACATATATAAAATGGATTCGCACACTATATCACAATGCATGTGGTAGTGTTATGAATTATGGATGGCTCTCAGAAAATTTCACAATTGAGAAAGGTGTAAGGCAAGGATGCCCACTATCAGCATTGTTATTTATTATTACTGCAGAAATCTTAGCGTTAAAGGTGAATCAAAATAAAGATATTAAAGGTATACAAGTTCTAGATAAAAATCATGAAGGACTTGAAACAGAAATTAAAATTGCACAATATGCAGACGACACGGTAATGACACTCAGTTCACTTGCGTCAGTGAGACATGCAATGGACGAAATAAAAAAAATTGGCAGATATGCTGGTATTTTGGTGAATTGGGATAAATCGAAAATAATGCAGCTTTCACAAAGATGTGATGCAAATGAAATTGAAGGATTGGCTTTTTCAAACGATCCATTTAAATTTCTTGGGATTTATGTAGGGATGAATATAAAAGAAGTAGAAACACTAAATTGGGAAGGAAAAATTGACAAGATTAAAAGAATTTTAGATTTGTGGAAAATGCGTCATCTGACGTACTACGGGAAAATCACAGTTATAAAGATGCTAGCTGCATCACAAATAGTATATGTGGCTACTGCTGTTCCAGCACCCAAAGATGCCATCAAAAGAATTAATAAGTTATTATACTCCTTTTTGTGGCGCTCAAAAACAGAAAAAATAAGAAGAAATATTTGTATTAATGATGTTACAAGTGGGGGGTTGGGAATGATTGATCTGGAAGCTAGAGTTAGTGCATTGCGTCTTTCATGGATAATGAAATATTTGAACTGTCAAAATACCTCATGGAAAACATTGTTTTCCTATTGGATTGACAAGGTTGGGGGAATACCCTTAAGTTTAGAATTTAACTGTCACAAGAAAGACATGGAAAAATTATGTAAAACAGCAAATTTGCCATATTTTTACTTTGATTTGCTTTGTACATGGTCTGAACTAAAATATGTAAATATTGAGGGGACGAATAACATAATGAGAACGATACTATGGAATAATAGTAATATTAAAATAAGGAACCGAATGCTTCATTTTAAGGTGTGGGAGAGAGGAGGAATAAAAAGAGTACACCATGTTCTTAATGACGGTCGATGGAAAAACTCTGACGAAACTGCCCAAAGATATGGGTTACCCAAAATGTTATTTGCTTTTAAGTTTGCTATGTTGAAAAAGGCTTTCCCCTTGGTATGGTTGCGTAAATCACAAGATGTAGAACGTGATGAAGTAATTGATTTACAGACCATTGAGATTTCGACAGGGGATATGATAGATTTGTCAAAACTTAATACGAAAATAATATATTCACTGATTGTGCAAAAAAATAAGAAAAAACCATATATTTTAAACGCATGGCAACAACGACTACACTTACAGGCGGATTTTAATTGGTCATCTGTTCTACAGTTTAAATTTCATGTTGTACGGAATAATAAAATCAGAGAATTTAACTTTAAACTTTTGCATATGATTTTACCATCACGATACAATTTATGCAAATGGAAGATCTTAGATTATAATACATGTGAGATATGTAATACGCTAGAAACCACTAAGCATATGATGTTGGAGTGTGAAAACGTAAGATTGTTTTGGAGAATTGTTTCAGGTGTAATCTTCAATTTATGTGGTCTAAATATTCAGATGACTGAACAGATTTTAATACTTGGTTATGAAGTTGAAAACTCAATTTGTCATTTAGTAAATTTAATAATAAATTTTGCTGAGTATGTAATATATAGAAACCACATAAAGAATTTACAATCATTTAATATAACACATGCGAGAACTCTATATCGTAGTCTTAAATATGAGTTGACATTTTATTTGAACTGTAAAAGTATTAAAAGAGAAAATAACAATATGGTACAGAAATTAATTGAGATGCTGTAGACAACGAAAACAGATGTACTCATGAACAAACTAATGGGACGTTGCAATATTTTATTTGTTTATGATTGTATATGAGTTGAATTTGTTTATTTGAAGGAAAAGAAACAAAAAGGAATGTCAATTTGAATAATAAAGTTCCTCTGATTGAGGTTAAAGAGAAAAAAAAGTTTATATTTCACAGATAGGACATACATGACATATTCATAATTCCTACAAAGTTCGACAGCATTAGATGTTTGCTGCAAAAGGGACATAGTATCTTTACGGTTCAAAGGAAATCCAACCCTTGTAACAATTCCATTGCTTTTAAGGAATGAAAGCAGATACATCAGAGAAACAGAATGGCAAAAGTTTGGAATAAATCGGACCAATGATAAGAAAATAATGAATGTTTGATATATGAGATCACTATATACATCCATGCAAATCTCAAATTGGCAATTCTCTCATTGGATTGTGCCGTAGTGACAAATAACCCTTCGTTTGTCTTGTACACAAATATGAAGATTTTTTTTTCTTCTCCCAAGCGCCTTCACCCTTGGGGCACTACTTAAAATATAATATGGAGAGTATATTATTACAGGTTCTCTAGAAATAATTTTTTGTGTGTAGGAACAAACGGGAAAGGGAGTGTCGTGGTCGAGTGGTTTAAGGCGTTTGACTTGGAGATGCGAAGGTCGAGGGTTCGAATCCCGACACGGCACTAATATCCTTTGGCAAGATATTAACCTGCACTTGCTACTCTCCACCCAGGTGTTAAATGGGTACCCGGTAGGATGCGACCGTCATTGTTGGTCAAACAGTTTTAGAGCGTCATGTAACGCCTGGCTGGAATGCTCCCCAGGGAGTGGAGATTGTGCACACATTGTGTGCGGGTAAGCACTGAATCCAATGACCGGGGTAATAATATATTTGTAAAGCGCTTAGAGACATTTGTATTTAGCGCTATATAAATTAAATTTATTATATTATTATATTATAAAGTTGTCTGCCGCTACTTTATACAGAAAATACCGATTCGGCTAATTCGAAGAGCCCTACCTATATTTTTTTTTTTTTATTATTTATTCATGGTTAAAAACAAATACAACTTGTGCCCGCATTCAGCAAAAGCTGTTTTTTCAGCGAGGCAGTGATTACATAAAATTCGAATAAAATTTAAAACAATGAAAATATAATTCACAAACAAATATGAAAGTTATAATAAATGAACATATTTACAGAAATTTAACTACAAAATCAAATCATAGTGACAAAGGGGAAAAAACCCAAAACAAACACAAAACAATCAAATAAACAATTAAGTTTGTATCTACGGGATGAAAGTGATTCTAACTTTCAAAAATTCAAACTTTGTTCAACACGCTTCACTAATTTTTCAGGTTTAGTCTTGAGAAGTTAACTATCAATGTTGGACTCCCCGTTAACAAAAAAATCACAAGGAGTTGCTTTTTAGGAAACTTAATTCGTTGTGTTGAGATCAACGTACATGTAGCTATTTAGGGTGAATTGCCGTTTGGTTAACAACCAGCCAGTCTACTATCCACTTTGTCCCATAATAGTTTCGTCTACTTATCGTTAGATCTAGCGGCCATCTAGGACGACAGTCATTCGGTTTAATCCCCAATTAATCTATTACCATTTGGTCTATTATTCATTTTGTCTGATTCCTAGTTTTCTAAATGCCCATTTCGTCTACCATCCATAATGCCTAATAATTAGTGGATGATTAATAGCCTATATATATGGGAATAATGTTTTATCTCTCTCAATCTCTCTCTCTCTCTCTCTCCCCACACTTCCTCTCTCTCTCTCTTTTTCTTTTTCTCTAGTAGGTCATGGGTGATAACCAATTCCGCGATAGAACGGAGCATAACCATCCGCCTAACCATGGTAGAAGCAATGCTACGAAGGTTAAAGCAGCAACGAAGAGAAGGGCCACTGAGTCCAATGAAAGACCACAACAGGTGCTTATGGCGACACTATGCGAGGTAACAGAGGAAGGGCGGGCAGCGCTACCATCACTAAACAACATGAGGAGGAATATCCGGAGACAGCGCCAAGAGAACCCAAACGCCCTCCCCATTCCCATGACTGTGGAAGATCTGGAAATCCCTGTAGATCAACGATTGACGCTGGGTGGAGAGCTTTTCCTTTATCACGACTCTGGAAGAAACGACCCTCGCCGGATTTTAGTGTTTACTACGGAAAGGAACCTTCAGGTAAGAACAAGTGTTGGGGTTCATTGCCATTTGGCCTTCTACGGTTCCGCAATTTTAGGAAGTGCTGCAAAAGCATACGTATTGAGTAAAAAAGATTTCAGGATTCATTAGAATGAATTGAAATTGTGAGGTCATCATAAAGATATCCAAATACTTCCTATAAAATTGAAATTGAAATTAAACTAGATTTGTAATACTTGTTTGGAACAAGTATAGGTGGGCTGATCCAACAAAAAATTGAGACAAAATAAAGGGTACATTTAAGATAGCTTTTTGTCTCAGCTACAACATACTCGAAGTTCAGCGTAAATGAAGCTAAAACGACGTAGATATTGCTCGCGAAAGACGGGAATGTAGAATCGAGTTTTGAGAAAAAATCATGTCCCATAGAGAATACACGCAAAATGTGAAAATTGACATGCCTCCTTTAATCACAAAAATACGCCATGATGCTTTTGTCAAAATTAACAATTGTTATGACTTCATTTGTAGAAAATTGTCTCAGCTAGAACATTTCAAAATTTAGAAGAAAATCAATCACTATTTACAGAGATACAATCAATTTTCCATAAATATGCTGACGTCATAATATGCAAATTGAAATTTTGAGTTCGGAGGCCATTATAATGACGTCATGAGTTAATTGAAGGTCAAATGTGACATGAAACAATATCTCCGAATCATACTCTATCAAAATATGAAAACAAATTGGGGTCACCTTGCATCCTAAAGAGCTACAATGGATTTTGTATAGGCATGTTTTTGCCCATATATGCTATGTATTACAAGAGCTCGCGCGCACCGAGATTTATGTTAAACGGTCGATCATTCCGTTATTAATAGTCATAAAGAGACAAACATGGTATCAATTTGTTTGTAAATATATGTGGAATATTATAAAAGAAAAAAAATGGTGATTCTATGTTATGTAATATTTTTACGCGCGAAAACGCGCGCGCATGGGCGTGTGCGCGATTTTTTATAAAATGCTTAGAATGGCCTAAAACGTATGCAAAATGATTTTGAGACGATTTTGAGCATTTTAAAATTTTGCGCGCGCATTGACGCGCGGACGTACGGGCACGCGCGCATTATTTGAGCTGAAATTAACCGGACGGATAATGACCTTAATCATGATAAATATGAATGAGAATTACTTTTTGGTTATGAAGATATGATCATGAGTTGATTTTCGTAAAATTTTACAAAATGGCGCCTAGATGACGTCATCAGTGAAGGTCAATGTTGAAAACGTTATTGTGCTTCGTACATATGCCTATACATATGTGTGCCAAATTTCAAGGCATTTGATTGAGCCATTTTTTGTGTTATTTTGTTCACAAAAAAGTGGTTAGAAATAAGAAAAATATTTAATAATAAATAAAGGCAATTCTAACGAAATTATAAGGTGGTCTGTACTATATACAGCCCACCTGATTAAAATTAGTTATTATTCTCGACAAAGTACAGGATCGGTTCTAGAACAATTCCCCTGAGGGGGTATTGTTCTGATACGACATGATCTCCTATTTCGATTATGTTTTTTAATTATCATGCTATGATAATTAAAAAACAGTAAGTAAGTAAATAAAATAGCTTGGAAATAATACATACAATTTTGCAAGTGAAACAGTTTGTTTGTTTGAAATATATAATATTCGATGCAAATGTATTCATTCTGTTTTGCTACTAGTTGCTGTCAACGTCTGAAAGTTGGTTCGCTGATGGCACGTTCAAGGTAGTGCCGACCATCTTCTTCCAGTTGTGGACAATCCACGCCACATATGAGGGACATGTGGTGCCTTTGGTTTATTGCCTCATGCTAAATAAGGACCAGGCGTCATATGCAAGGGTACTAGCAGCACTACAGGAGGGAAGGGCGTTCTACCCAACCAGAATCATGATCGACTACGAATTTGCAGCGAAGAACGCATTTTCCCAGGCATTTCCAAATGCTCACGTTCAAGGATGTCTTTTTCATCTCTGTCAGAGGATACATGAACGGGTATGGTGATATTTATATATTGACAGTTGATCCCTTTTTTTTACCCGCCATTTATTGATCAAATAGTACAATCAAGGCTCATGGCTAAAAAAAAAAAAAAAATAGTGATACAAATATTAGGTAGAGTTTGAAATTTGAGTAAGTGGACTTGCAAGCCATGATAAATGCTGAGGAGAGAGGGGGGGGGGGGGGAGGACTCTAATAAATATTTTTTCTTTTAATCATCCTTTCAAGCCCAGTAACAAAAACTTTATATGATGATTAGAGGGTAGGGGGCTAGGGGCTATATCTCTTTTCGATTGTGCCTAAAACTGACCTGGAAAAAACACGGACCTCTAATCGCCAGGGGAGGGGGAGGGGGGAATATAATCGATAGTTATACTGAAAATTGGTAGGCCACAAGGAAGCTGAGTAGGATACAAGCATGTTATTTTCTCCTATAGGAAACGCTCATTGCGTATAGTCAGGCAAGGGAGAAAATTTCGGGCAGCCCTGGCGGATTCGGGCGAAAAAATAGGGGACAGCGGTTTGTTCCTCCCCCCTCCCCCACACTAAACGAACAGTTACCAATATCTATGCATTTTGCTCAATGGGTAGACAACAAACAATATTTCTGAAGTGTGAAAGGGCTGGTACATGTACTGTTATGAGTTTTATATTATTATTTTTAGATCAAGCAAGAAGGGCTGCAGGTGCTCTACAACGAGGATGAGGAGATCCGGACACAGGCGAGAATGATAGGAGCGATTGCATTTGTGCCAGTGGAAGACACCGTGGAGGCGTTTGAAGCCTTGGCAGGCATTGCAAGGGCAGAGCTGCAACCTGTCCTCAATTATTTTGAGGATACTTATGTGGGTCGACCTCAAAGAGCCGCGGGACATGGTCGCCAGGCAGCGAGGTTCCCGCCCATAATGTGGAACATGTTCAATGCGACACTGCAGGGGGAATTTCGCACGAACAATCATGTGGAGGGCTGGCACCGAAGGTTCCAGATCGGCGTCGGTGCCGACCACCCCTCGTTTTGGCAGTTTTTGACCTGCCTAAAACGGGAACATGCCATGAACGAAGTAACGATCGGACAAGCGCAAGCTGGAATGGCGCCTCCCGCACGTAGGAGAGTGTACCAAGATACCAATCTCCGGCTCATCAGGCTCGTTACTAATTACCATGGGAGAGACATTGTAGATTTTTTAACTCTTTGTTTGCTTTGTTCGCCGATTTGCACGGACGTAGGCGTGCCAACTTCGCATTTTTGCACAGATGTATACGAGTCAATTAGACATTCATAATACCGCTCGCAGTGTGTAGCCACGCGTTGCGTTTACTATTGTTTACATTGTATACATCGCACACTTTCCGGTAAACTGTTTTTCTTCATAGTGTTACATTCGAAATTACCGTGTATTTAGCGGTTTTCTTTGGATTTTTTTTACTGATGTTACGATGGCACCTGCTGGAAAACGTCAACGTGTGTTTAGTGTAGAGGAGGCTCGAGATCTTGTTACTATGGAAGCATGGAGCATGGACTCTGATTCCGACGAATCGAGCAGTGACGAAGACTCTAGTGATAAAAGTGATCCCTGAGAGTAGACTGATAGAATAAGAATGAATAAAAATTAATGAAAGAGCTAGAGATGACAGCAAGAAAGAGAGTAGACTGATAGAATAAGAATGAATAAAAAAAATGAAAGAAGGAGATAGAGATGACAGCAAGAAAGAGAGTAGACAGTGATAGAATAAGAATGAATAAAAATAATGAAAGAAAGAGATAGAGATGACAGCAAGAAAGAGAGTAGACTGATAGAATAAGAATGAATAAAAATTAATGAAAGAGCTAGAGATGACAGCAAGAAAGAGAGTAGACAGTGATAGAATAAGAATGAATAAAACTAATGAAAGAAAGATGTATCCTGTCTTGCCGTCATCTTTATATCTTTCTTTTATTATCTTTATTCATTCTTATGCTATCAGTGTTTACTCTCTTTCTTTCCGTCATCTCTATCTTATTATTATTATCATTTTCCTATCTATATGTACCCTATGTCTTGCCGTCATCTGTATATCTTTTTCTTATTATCTTTATTCATTATTATGCTATGAGTGTAATACTCTCTTTCTTGCCGTCATCTCTATCTCATTATTATTATCATTTTCCTATCTATATGTACCCTATGTCTTGCCGTCATCTCTATATCTTTCTCTTATTATCTTTATTCATTCTTATGCTATCAGTGTTTACTCTCTTTCTTTCCGTCATCTCTATCTTATTATTATTATCATTTTCCTATCTATAATTATGTACCCTATGTCTTGCCGTCATCTCTATATCTTTCTCTTATTATCTTTATTCATTCTTATGCTATCAGTGTTTACTCTCTTTCTTGCCGTCATCTCTATCTTATTATTATTATCATTTTCCTATCTATATGTACCCTATGTCTTGCCGTCATCTGTATATCTTTCTCTTATTATCTTTATTCATTCTTATGCTATCAGTGTTTACTCTCTTTCTTGCCGTCATCTCTATCTTATTATTATTATTATTTTCCTATCAATATGTATCCTATGTCTTGCCGTCATCTCTATATATTTCTCTTATTATCTTTATTCATTCTTGTGCTATCAGTGTTTACTCTCTTTCTTTCCGTCATCTCTATCTTTTTATTATTATCATTTTCCTATCTATATGTACCCTATGTCTTGCCGTCATCTCTATATCTTTCTCTTATTATCTTTATTCATTCTTATGCTATCAGTGTTTACTCTCTTTCTTTCCGTCATCTCTATCTTATTATTATTATCATTTTCCTATCTATATGTACCCTATGTCTTGCCGTCATCTCTATATCTTTCTCTTATTATCTTTATTCATTCTTATGCTATCAGTGTTTACTCTCTTTCTTTCCGTCATCTCTATCTCATTATTATTGTTATTTTCGTATCAATATGTATCCTGTCTTGCCGTCATCTTTATCTCTTTCTCTTATAATCTTTATTCACAGTAAAGTCCTTTCATTTCATATCACTATTTCTCTCTCATAATGTCTCTCACGTCCGTTCTCCATATTTTATTCATTGCATACTCCACTCGTCAATCATTTCTGATAATAAGCTCTCTCACAATAAAGTAAATGGAAAACAATGCAATATAGTTTATATTTTAAGATTGATTCATTCTTTCTTTGTATATCTATGGCTGTGATAAATGTACTTGAAATCAATTTTATTGAGGGGTAAAGAAGGTGAGAGAACAGATGCGGTGAACATTCATAATGAGACATTTCAATAAGATGCTGATTATGTCATGTATATCACATATAATATATTATGCCTATACCATTTTTACATGCTCATACCAGTGGGCAAAATCAATAACATTCTCTTATTTCTTATTGACTTATCATGGCACAACAAAGAAAAACATCCCCACGACGTCCCTTTTCATGCCCCGCTAAACCGGACATTGACAATAACCTGGGGTAATAGGGATTTCAATGGGCAGATTAGCCCATTGTCAAGGGTGGCTGAGCGGGGTACTTTCAAGTCTCTCCCTATTGAACTTCTTTTCTTCAACAACCTAAATACTAACCTTCTGAATTGTTAGAATACTTGAGCAAGGTATGTAAAGAAAGGTAAGAAGTCCACCTTTCTAATAGATTCGATTTGAAGATGTCTTATCATTGCTAAATAAGAAATTCTAGAGGGATAAAAAACTGCCGTAAATAAGAAAAATTAAACATTATATAATTATGATTATTATAAAAATGATAATTCAAAATATAACAAATGACGGTTCATCGAAAAGCACGTTTTCCGGTCTACAACTTTGCTGCACAATATTTTTCATCATGATCATCCAGTGAAGAGTTATAGCCTCTTGATTCAGCAGAGTCAATAAAGATTCCCTCGAAATGTGTGACCCTAAAAGAATGTGGCACAGGGGTTTTTTTTAAGTGGCGCATAAAGAGTTAAGGGGCGTGTCCCATAATCTTCACTAACGATCAGTTACCTATGCTATTGTACAGTTTTTGATCAGTCCAGGTGAATTGTTTTAACATGCAGGACCTCCCATTTACTTGGCATTACATTATATGGGATTTTTTGTTTTACATTAAGAGATGTGTTACGTATATACATTGTTGAATACAGAATGATATCATTTGATATCTTCTTTTTTTATGCATTTGATTGTTTTCAGGATAAAGTTTCTAGTTTTTTTTTAATTCTCTTTTTTTACTGTTTCATGTTTATATGATAAGCATGATTGTGATGATCTTTGCCTCTGAGTTTTACTTTGGGATGTCAGAACTCTGTTTTTAGTACATGACTTTGATAAGTCTCCTCCTTTGGCTTCCTTCAAGACAGCAGGAAGGTGTTTTGTTTGTGTTAATGTATCATTAATATTTATCATGTTTATCCTCTTCAAATATGGTTTTGGGCAATACGCGCCAAAATTTGCTGGACAGAAGTTTTATCGTTGCAGAAAAAGCTCTTCGTATTAATCGCAACTCTCAGTCGCGTTCCCTTACAAATCCTATATTCTTTGAAAATAGCATGTTAATAATTAATGACCTCTATCTCTTCCAGTTAGGCCAGTTTTTGTAAACTAACAGTAATGACATGCTCTCAATTTTATTCATGATGTGTTCCTCCCCCCACCCCCCTACAAAAAAATTACATTGTGGTGACTTTCATTTACCTCTTCTAAATACATTTATCTATGCCGGTCTCAAATTTTGGAACTTTTCACGTATTTGTACTAAACTTGCCCCATCACTCCATTCTTTTAAGCGAAAAGCGAACTCGTTTCTTTTACAATCTTATAAAACATATTAAATCTTCGCGTAGTCAACTCGTGTTTTACTCCCCCCCCCCCCACAGATTGCGTTTGTGACCTTTCATATAATGTCAGTCTTCGTCCTATGTCTCTGTTGGATCATGTTCACCCAGACGTAGGAAAAGCATGTTGTTATACATTTTTAAATTATGAATTTATAATTCATAAGTTCTCATTTCACAATTTCAGATTAATCTGTTTTGTCTCCAAATGTATATGTATTTATTCCATATGTTTATTACTACCGTCTTTTGAGGGATCCACATTCTACAAATCCCGCTTCTCAGTAGATCCCTCTATTTTCACAGTTTTTTACTTTTAAACAAACGAAACATCACTTACAGCACATGTATACATTCTTTTGTAATTTAATTAATGATTTTCAAAATGATTTATGTAATTGATTTCTTGTCATAATTGTTTATATTGATAGTTCTGTTGGAAGTGAAAATAAAACTGAAAATTGAAACACTGTTTGAAATGCTATTAAAGTTTTTCACTTGTGATAGAGAATGTAAATAGTTAAAATATTGCATCTTGTATGTCAATTTACCTCCGCAACATTTTAAGTTCAATACCTTTTCTTTTATATAAAGAATGATGACAAAACAAGAATAGGATTTTCACCACATTAACTCGTACACTAGAGAACCATAAACAGCTAAACAAAAAATAAATTTCAAGCACAGTCTAAGTAGACATATTCCTTTGCTTCCAGAATTCATGAAAAGTCAAAGTTTTAGGAGACTTGGAGGCCACACTGAATAACGTCAAACAAAGCTGGCGAGAAGCGAACATCGTCACTAATGCTTAAGCGTCCCTTCGATTTTTAATCTCTGTTAAACTCGTTAAGAACAAAAGCTTGTCAATTTCATATGGTTCATAGAATTACCATGACCACGTTTCAGGGGGAAAATAAAGTAAAAATGCCTGCTTTAACCTTTTCTGAGATGGAGGTAGTGGATGTTTCTATCTTTCATTTGGCCTAGAGTTTGAAAAAGTTTCACCAATTAAAAATTAGAAAATTATGATTTGTTGAAGGTGCAAACACAAATATGCAACTCCGTGACGTGTCTTGTGAGCTCCCCGCCTATTTGCCCTGTGCTAGAAAACTTTAAAAAAATCTGTATTCTTCCTTAACAAATTTTCCACATACATTCACCCAAAATATAATTAAATATAATTATTGCAAATATGTTTATACACAACCCCTGTACGAAACAAATCTATGCCGTCATAAATAACTAAGAAAATGAAAGTTCATGACATTTTCTCTAAATAGCAATTTGAAGCGGAGCTCGCATTATACGTCACAGTGTTGCAAATTCCCTGGGTGTGATTGTCCTCGGAGGTAATGGTGTTTCGAGGGGGGGTAATTGTCCTCGGGGGGGGGGGGGTATTTGTCCTCGGGGGGTAGTTTTCCGGGGGGTAGTTGTCCTCGGGGGGTAATTGTCCTCGGGGGTAGTTGTCCATGGGGGGTAATTGTCCTGGGGGGTAGTTGTCCTCGGGGGTAGTTGTCCTCGGGGGGTAGTTGTCCTCGGGGGGTAATTGTCCTGGGGGGTAGTTGTCCTCGGGGGGTAGTTTTCCGGGGGTAGTTGTCCTCGGGGGGTAATTGTCCTCGGGGGTAGTTGTCCTCGGGGGGTAGTTTTCCGGGGGGTAAATTTCCGGGGGGTAATTGTCCTTGGGGGGTAATTGTCCTCGGGGGGTAATTCTCCGGGGGGTAATTTTCCGGGGGGTAATTGTCCATGGGGGGTAATTGTCCTCGGGGGGTAATTCTCCGGGGGGTAATTTTCCAGGGGGTAATTGTCCTTGGGGGGTAGTTTTCCGGGGGTAATTTTCCGGGGGGTGATTGCCCAGGGGGTAATTGTCCTGATACGGATTAGGCCATTTTCGTTGTATAACCAAATTATCTCATTTACCCGTTAAGAATAACTGTATTTCAATAGTCAGAATGCAAAATGCAAACACTGTGTTGTTATATAGGTAGGGCAAGCCATAATGTTTGTCCTACCTATAGTGTAGCAAAAAAAAGCTAACAAATAATATATTCAATTTGTATTCTGACTATTCAAATACATTTATTTGTAACAGGTGAATTAACTAATTGGCAAAAGGGCACTTAACAAAGACCTATGCATTATATTTGATTTCATTATGAAAATGACCTATTTAACATATGGATAGGAAATACTTGAACTGTTACATGTCGATTTCTGAACCTTCATATATTGTATAAATTATGGAGGGTTCATAATTCCAAACAATTATTTGGGTTAATAATTTTGAAAATGAAATAGGATTCGTAACTCAAAAAATGAAATATGGTTCATACTTCTATACATTGAAAAGGGCTAAATCAAGGGGGCGATCCCAGTGGGACGGGGGAGGGTAGAACACGTCCCCCTCAATTTTTTTAGGAGGATAGCCCCCCCCCCCCGGAAAATGTGTAAAAGTGCATAAAAAATGTGTAGCAAATACTGACTAAAGAATGCAACAAACTTGTATGCCCAGGGGGGTGTTTCATCAACTAAAATCGATTTCGATTTTAAAAATCAATTTTAAGGCCGAATCAGTTTTAGCTTAAAACCGATACATGTGAGCTGTTTCATCAAATCGATTTTAAGCTAAAATAGATTTTTAGGTGTCTGCAATCAAGACTAGTCAATTTGGGGTAAATCGATCACAAAATGGCCTTGCTTAACTACAGTGAGAGTCCTTGAAAAGTAAGTAAAATCTGTTTTTCTTTGAAAATATCAATTCTGTCGATAACAAATCTGTTATTTTGGAAGAAGAAAAATATTCCTCTCATTATTATGCAATTTCATTTTCGTGTAACTGAACGAAATCTTAAATAAAATCAATTTATATCACTCTCCAAGTGGACGAATTGCACCGGTTCAACCATTTCAGTCCCATTCATATAAATTGATGCAGGTTCAATAGTAATTTCCAAACAACGTTTATTATTCGGTTAGGACAGACAGGTACAAACTCATTAGTCTAGTTTATTCTTGCAGTAGTATTGTGGTTTTACTAGTTATGCTACTAGTTGTAGATTTGGGCTTAGAATCAAGATCTAGATCTAGGCCCTATCCCTTATTTATTTTAGCATTGTCTTGTTTTTGTTGATATAGAGACTCTAACTAGTCTAGTTAAGTTAGAGACTAGTCTAGTCTAGGTCTAGATTTTCTAGCCTCTAGATCTAGACTAGTCTAGTCTATAGATCTAGGCCTAGGGTCTAATTATAAATGATAGATCTAGATCTAGACTCTAGGTCTAGATATATCTGGATCTATTAGGCCTAGGCCTAGGGCCTAATTATTAAAAATCAATAGACTTCTAGGATTATTGTTTTGAAGGTAACATTTTATGAAAGAAAATTAGACTCTAGATCTAGAGGTCTAGGCCTAGAGTGTAACTGTCAGACCCAGGTCTAGATCTACTCTAGATGTAGATTTAGTCTAGAGTCTAGGTCTAGATCTACATGATACTTGATAGATCTAGATCTAGGGTAGATGTAGACCTGTAGATGCTGTGTTGTGGTCAGCAGGGGTGATTGTTGCACTCCCAAATTCTCTGCCAAAAATTTCGTTTAAATTCTGCTTTGGAATGCTTGTCTTGTGTAATCACATGATTAGCTAACTGCCAATATCCTTGTGAACACATTAAATCAATTTTAATTGACAATTCTGGGTTGTCATCGTGAAAATCTGCAAAAATCTGCAGATTTCAATCTAGCTTCTCAACTTTGCACAGTAAGCAAATGGATTTACCAGCCCCACATACTACCTCTTGTGTTGGTAACTGACATCCACAAGCCAACTTCTGCAAGTCTTCTGCAAGTCTTCTGCAAGTATCGATTTCATTTCCTTCTTCGCTTCTATGATGTTCATGAGAGTGATGGCAAGTCTGAGAGCATAATTGATCTTGACTTGAAGTGAGAAGCTGTCATAAATTTGACTTAATGCTGGTTTTTTGAGACTAGACTGAGATTGCTACAATAGTACTTAGTAAATAGTAGTACAAAAGTAGTCCAACTTCATGTATCCCGGTCAATAACAGTGTATATTATCAACTTGCATTGTACATTGTACATTTGTATGCAACATCATATCATTCTACATCTAGCATGGGTAGACATATTCCTCCAGCCATGATCTCATAATGGAAACATCCTGTCATCATGGTCTTCTTGATTATTGCTAGCACAGGCTTACTGATAATTAAGCCATTCTTTCAGCAGGATATTCATCATGAGCATGAATTTCGCTCATTGGATACCTCTCTCTGCCCTCAAGCAGACGTGCACCTTGTATGCAAATCAAGCACATTGCTACTTCTTCAAGCATTTCAGTATAAGAGAAATTCAACCAGTGTGCTGAATCTTCGCTCTGCTAGTCATCTCGCTATTCTACTACTCTTAAGCGGCCAAGTCGAGCGAAACCCGGGGCCAATAGACACATTCCCATGCGCTGTTTGTAATGTGAATGTCACGGACAACGACCAAGCTCTTCTCTGTGATAACTGCAACATGTGGTGCCATATTACATGCAATGGTATTTCTGAGCAATCATATGAAGTCCTCGCCAGACTCAACAGGTTCTCGTGGGTCTGCTGCAGATGTCATAGCATAAATGCAGAAACAGCAGCTTCCCTCAGCAGCAATGCCAGCCTCTCCACAAGCAATCAGTTTGAGTCATTAAGCATCAGCGACACAACCGATGATGCTCAATATCATTGTCAGACGTCAACACCAACTTCAGCGTCATCTGGTCATGCATCGAGGCTACCACCACGCCCTCACTTCTCACCATCTAAAAACCGCAGGAAGATCCTGAAGGGCGTCATTATCAATTGCAATGGTCTTAAAAGTTCTGCGAAGTACTCTCAATTCCAAGCATTGATTAGTCATCACAAGCCAGATGTGATCCTTGGTTGCGAATCTAAACTTGACGAGACAACCCCTACTTACAGTGTATTTCCTAGAAATTACACAGTATTCCGGAAAGATCGAAACGACCGTGGGGTGGTGTCTTTGTAGCAGTGCATAAGTCTCTCATCTTAACCAACTGTCCGGAGTTCAACTCAAATAGTGAAATCATCTGGTGTAACTTACAATTCACCAACGCAAAGCCACTATTTATAGCCAGCTTTTACCGTCCCCCAAGTAACGGAAAGCAAGACCTTGAGGAACTCCAACTCTCCATCGCTAAGGTTATGACTAAACACAGAAGAAGTCACCCTAACATCATCATTGGAGGAGATTTCAATCTTCCAGACATCGACTGGGAATCCTGCTCACTGACCAATCCAAACCGTGCAAGCATCCATCAACTTTTGCTTGACACCTTATTGGAATTCTCACTGACACAACTGGTAAGGGATGTAACCCGTCCTGCGTCTAGTAACATTCTGGATCTTCTTTTGACGTCCAACCCTGGCCTCATTACAGATGTATCCATTCATCCTGGCATATCAGACCACAACATTGTGTCCTTCGTCTTCTCAGGAAATCCGAAAACAGCCCGTGCCCCTCCCAGGAAGATCTACCAATTCCACCGAGCAGACCACCAGATCATTAAAGAAACTGTTGAAAAGTTTTCAATCGATTTCTTCCTTTCATCTCCAGAGCTCCAAACTGTAGATGAGAATTGGAACAGGATATCTGTGTTCCTCAAGAAGTGTATGGAGGATCTGATACCATCAAAGATGAGCAAATCCCGGCGACACCTTCCGTGGATCACCACCGACCTCAAACGAAAAATGAGGAAGCGTGATAGGCTTTTTAAGAAAGCCCGTAGAAACCCCAGTACGTCAAAATGGAATGCTTTCAGACAGCACCGCAACGTGGTAGCGAAACTAGTTCACCAAGCACACCACGATTACGTGAACAACATCATAGGGAACAGTCTGCAAGGGAACCCCAAGACCTTCTGGTCCTATGTCAAGCAGTGTCGGACTGAGAATATGGAAATCCCATCGCTTAGATCTGACAAAGGCATCCACACGACCAACAAAGACAAAGCAGAGTGTCTCAACTCCTTCTTCCACTCGGTATTCACCAACCAACAGGTTTGTAATGCTCGTATGGAAGGTTCCTCACACTTTCCTGATATTGGCCATCTACACATTCATCGTCCTGGTGTGGCAAAGCAGCTGTCAAATCTCAACCCATCCAAAGCTTGTGGGCCAGACGAACTTCCACCTAAACTCCTCAAGCTTGTAGCTGACGAGATTGCTCCTGCCTTAGGATTCCTTTTTCAGCAGAGCTACAACTCTGGCACTGTTCCAGCTGAATGGCAGCATGCATTGGTAACACCCATCCACAAGTCCGGTGATAAGTGTGATCCAGGAAATTACAGGCCTATTTCCTTGACCTGCATCTGCAGATGACCAACATGGATTTCGGCAGAAACTTTCCACCACCACACAACTCATCTCTGCTACCCAGGATTGGGCACACACCTTACAATGCAGAGGCCAAACAGATGTCATCTTCCTTGACTTCCAGAAAGCTTTCGACCGAGTACCTCATCGCCACTTGCAGACCAAGCTCGAGCATTATGGCATAAGAGGAGACACATTACAATGGACTATGTCGCTACTTTCCAACAGGCAGCAAGCAGTTGTTGTCAAGGGCTCCCGGTCATCTTGGATGCCTGTTACCTCTGGGGTACCTCAAGGTTCAGTGATCGGACCAGCCCTCTTTTTGCTGTACATCAACGACATCACTGCAAATATCCAGTCCAAGATGCGCCTCTTTGCTGACGATAGTGTGATCTACAGAGAAATTCACACTAAGAATGACACCTCCATCCTTCAGCAAGACCTTCAAACCTTGTCTGACTGGTCAGCGAAATGGTTCATGGCTTTCAATGTCAAGAAGTGCGCCTCCCTTACCATCACGAGGAAAAGAACACCAATACAGCATGACTACCAGATTTCCGACGAGATAATACCCAGGATAGACAAGTACAAGTATCTCGGGGTAACTGTAACCAAGGACCTTCGATGGAATACACACTGCCAACTCCTACTGAACAAGGCCAACAAAACCCTTGGGTTGCTGCGGAGAACCCTGTCACCATGCACCAAGGATGTGAAGTCAAGAGCATACACAGCCCTGGTTCGACCGCAGCTAGAGTATGGCGCTGAAGCCTGGAACCCCCACACTTCTGGTGCTGCCGAAGGTCTGGAAAGGGTACAGAAAACAGCTGCTCGTTTTGTCTTCCGCGACTACCGAAGATCCACGTCAGCTACAGGGCTTGTTTCCCAGCTGGGATGGGATAAACTGCACACACGTCGTCTTCTAGCACAAAGCACCATGCTCTTTAAAATACACCACCAGCTAGTCAACATTTGTCTTCCTCACCTCATAACCAAAGCTACATACATCAGCAGAAGAGACCACACACTCAAGCTCTCTGTTCCTGAGGCAACAATCGACTCCTACAAGTACTCATTTTACCCCCGCACCATTCGCATCTGGAATCAACTACCATTCACTGCAGTTACTGCCCCAACAGTTGCTGCTTTCCAGATGACCGCCCTCCCTGTCATCAGAGGGTTGGAACCTCCTGTAGGTTCCAGAATGCTGTAAACCATATAGCAGCATGATTATTTTTACTTGCACGTCACTATTTTATTGTACATGTATAAAGCAATTGTACACCCTTTTGTTGTCTGCACCTTCACCTGCTGTCACAACACATCCCATCCCAGTATAGCTTGGAAAAGCTGCTTCAGGGATTACCTCATCAAGTATCAAGTCAAGTGAGTGAGGTGGGGGGGGGGGGGGGGGGTAAAGAGCGCATTTCTTTTAGTTTTATAGGTCCCGAATATTTGAAAATTGCGCGGCCGCAAATTCGCTTAGTTGGGGGGGGGGGGGGGCACGTCCCTGATGGTCAGTACATTTTTGGCAAATTTTGCTGATTTTAACATTTTTTGGGGGCCAGGGGGGCACGTGCCCCCTGTGCCCCCCCCCTTGATCCGTCCCTGGTATTAGGGTCCCTAACACAGTCCAACTCCAAGCTCTAGACTAGACTATGCTAGAATAAATTTTTTTTAATTTTAATTTCAGAGTCGGACTAAAAGGTGGAGTGGACCACAAGTCGTATCCACCAAATAGACCTTGGCTTTAGTCAAAGACTCAAAAGTTCTCTTCTGCCGGGTCTCTACAGTCTTGGACTTCTCATTTTTCCTTGGCCTCGGGCTCAAGGAAAGGGTTTGGATATGCAGAATGTACTGAAGTTCAATGTCTAGGTGTACAGCTATAGATCCTACTGTGCTAAGCGGCCTTGTGGAGTGATCTTCTTACTAGTAAGATTTGCATACCAATAATAAAACGAAGGTAAGTTTTTTTTTGTGTGGTTCTTCTAGACCTATTTATTTGTTGTTGAGTGTGTAAATCTTGATTTTCATTAAATTTTCTACGTACAATCGCAAACTGATAAATCCATGTGAGGGGGAAGTCAACTATGACATGTCTAAATCATAGATAAATTACTTCATCAACCAGCCTGATTAATATTGTACAAATAATAGGGCAGCAATTAATGAATAAAGAGGTGATTGAACAAACTGTAATGAGAATATATGTATGATGAAAGCTGCTCTGTTTGTTTTATACCTCTTTGCCTTCTACTCATGACAGGGGAATGTTCATTGAATCTGTGTACAACAATGTTTGGTTCAAGAGCAGGGTATCCGAGATCAAGATTAGACTCCATAGTCAATCTTCCAAATGTCTAAAACTTACAATTTGGTTGGTAACAATGTCTTGGACCGAATACATGTAAATTACTGTTGTAATTACTGATAAAAATGTACTTATGTTCTTTTGAACACATTTGATACAGTGACAATAACTTTTCTGAAAAATTGATGTGCTCTCTTCATAACAAATATATGTATCTCTGTTTTAAATCCTAGGTTGCAAAATAAAGAGCTATGGCATCTGCATGTACTGCTAGTTCATGACAAATGAACATTTATTGTCCATCTCTTCAAATTGAAAAGGTAAGCCGTATCAATTACCAAAATTAATCTATCATTTTTCATAATCCTTGTAAGAAGTCTCATACCCATCTTACCCATTCTGTTAGATAAAACATACACAAATGGTAATGAAAGGATATTTTTTTTTATCCAAAGCAAACAATGAATCATTTATCTTCTGTAACTATTTTTTATTCTCCTACTTTATTTATTTAGCAATTAAAGTATTTGAAATAATCATAAATACAAAAAATGAAGATTGATTTAAAAGTTGTACTAGTATTTAGTAATTGATTCATTCATACTCTTGTGAGTAATGTGCCGCGGGATTCCATATCCTTAAACTGCTGGCGAACAGAGCAACAAGACCAAGCTCTGTAATTATTAGGATCTCTGTCCAGTAGTGCCGTGTTTGTGCCATCAAACTGGATCGACCAAATCAATTGATTCATAATATATGTATATGCAATATTTTTCCCGTAACATGAGAGTAATTTCAATAGTTTCATACTATTAATTAAATGTATTGTTAACTGTATAATTGTTTTAAATGGGGGCACGCTACAAGAGTCCTATCTCGCACCCCGGGGCAACGTGTCTGACACGGCCGCCGGGTTGTAACAACTACTCCGAAGATCAAGATTACAGTAATCTTGATCTAAGGAGACACGAACGAACGATTCATTTATTACATAACTTTCAATTCCTATTCTAGACTGCAGAGCCTGAATTACCTGCAACGTTATGCTTCCTGTGAAACATCAGCCAGCCTACAAATAGAAGCTCCCTTTTCCAGCTTTAAGCAAGAGGAACCACAATGGGATACAGATCTTGGTATCATGGACTGGTCACTTTTTACAACCAACACTACTTGTAAAATAAGATTTACAAATTAATTCCTATAAGCTATTAAAAATGCTCTAGTCAAGGTACTAAAATTTTGCCATCGAGTTTGAGGTTTTGGGTTTGATAAAATGTTAACATAAAATATTTTAAAGGAAGTTAATGGTTTAATGATACTTCCAAGATTTCCTATATTTTGAACAGAATTTTAGAATCTTGCAAAAGAAAAGAGAAGAAATAAAAAGCTATTATTCTGTCATGGAGGTTATTGTTACCAAACTCGCATTACAAAGATTATTTTGTTCATGGCAATAAATCTTAAAATATCAAATTGGAATTTCTTAATTAGCAATTCATCTGAGCAGCAGTTTGATGACCTATTTGGAACTCTTCCTAGAGGCACGTCTTGCATGACTATGTATCGATAATTACCTGTTGGTGCTTAAAGTGCTATTGTAGCAATTGCACAACAACAAATACAAAATAAACAACAGAACATTGGGATTGAGTGAAAACAGATTTTTCCTGCAGGAAATATATTAACTCTGACTTATGTTGTCCTTAGAATTTTTGTCAAAGCTGATAGAAAAGAATTGATGATTAATTTTCATATAGACAAACTATTGCATCAAGAAACCACATTCTCACCGACTGCGTGACCTTACATGACAATGTATATCATCCTTAGATTAACAACTGTATGAGTAACAGAAATATTTGTGACAAGTATTACTCTTTTAATCTCCATAAAGGTAACTCGAATAGAGAGTGGCAGAAATATTGTAATTGTATTCCTTGAATGTGTTTGCTATGCTCATCATTTACAAAATGTAGATTTCATTCATTAAAGCATAAACATATTGATTATACTTTAAAATCTGTGTTAATTTTATTTTGTATGTATTTTTTGTCTTTTAAGAAGATAAAAAGGGGGGGGGGATGAATAGATGAGATTGTACGCTAGCGCATGGTGATAATAATTACATGATGATAAAGGGCAATGATGTGATTCAAGAATGGTGTGTTTGTATGCTGGTGAGTTATTGTTATAAGTTGGTGTTTATTTATTCATTTTTGTTCTTTATTTATTTTTTTGTGGGGGAAGGGGGGTGTTCATGAAGAAACAAAATTACGGCAAGCAAAGCGTTGTGATGGGAGTGTCGTTTTATGTTAATGAGAGAGAGAGAGAGAATATGAACGAAATAAGGACACATAATTGTAAGCGCATATGGTAAAAAAAAATATAGAAAAAGGGGCACATAACAAAATGGAAAAGGGTCACTTCTAAGAAGAAAACATAAAAAGTTATTAGAAATAACAAGAGGAACTTTAAAACAAAGTGAAAAGGGACAAACTACATGAAGGAAAAGTGCACTTGTAATAAACAAAAAGGGATGTTAATCAGATGTTAAAGGGGCACTTAAACCCTATCTAGCATGGGTTATTTTGAAACTGCATAGCCTGGGGGGTCCGGGCCCCCTCCCCTGGAGAAAAAAACGTGTAAGAACACATTAACTGTACCATTTTTTTTGGAGATGGGCCCCCTCTCCTGGCGCTCAAGGGAGGGGGAGGGGGGAGGTGCGATTTTTCAAATTTTCGAGGCCCCCCCCCCAATAATTTTTTTTTGATTGTTCACAACCCCCCCCCCCCCCCCCCCCCCCCCACTGAGCGAATTATCGGCCGGCTGTTTCGCTGCTAAATATTGTCTCACGAATTGGGCCCCCTCCCGTGCCACCGGCTGGATAGGCCCCCCCCCCCAGGCTAGATAGTGTTAAGGGGAAAACGGGCCGCCCATGTATTTTTGAAGAAAAAATGGGCCATTGTGCTCCCCCCCTCCAGAGTGCCACATTTGGTATTGATAATGCCTAACTATGATGATTTAAAAAAAATTGGTTATGAACAAAGATTTGTTCCCCCAAGAACAGAATTCTTCATTTTCAGATGTATGTTCAAATTGAAGCTAGCCGACACTTGCGCCTTTAAAACCAATGAATGCTGAACATAGCATATAATAATGCAATGAATATGGATAAAATTGATTTAAAATTGATATGGATCACACTCTAACTTAAAATCGATTTTAAGGCCAAAATCGATTTTATTTATTTAGTGAAACTGCTGCTAAAATCGAAATCAATTTTAAGCCCTTAAAATCGATCAAATCGATTTTAGATCGATTTTAGGGCTTTAGTGAAACACCCCCCTGGAGGGCTCGATAGTGACAGCGTTTATACAAATAAAAATGCAAAAATCTTTGCGCTCGGTAGCTACGCTCCCTCGCATAATATCCTTCAAAGTGTACGAGTAAATATTGTAAAAAAGGAAGTGTGAAAAAGTATATTTTTTGTATGCTATAGTTTAGCTAAGGAATTTATTTTTTAAATATAACAAAAGTTCAAAAACATGAAGGGGATAGTCACTTCCGTCACCTTCATCCCTCTCATTCACCATGCTCCCTAGCACTGGCGTAATAATGAGGGGAGGGGGGGGGGTCTGGGTGGGGGGGGGGGGCAGTTGATTTACAAATGTGGCTGAAATGGCATGGTTTTTCCCTGAGTTTCCGGGGGCTCTGCCCCTGCACCCCAGTGAAGGGCCATAAGGTAAGCCCCTTGTTGCTCATCTGACCGTAATTAAATGCCTAATACCCTGAGCTTCCGGGGACTTCGCTCCCTGAACCCCTCCAGGGCCCTCAGAGAGTCTCTGGATGCTTATCCGATCGTAGTCAAATGCCTTAAAAAACCTGAGCTTTTATTATTTGGGCCCACAAACGGCCCTAAGGCAGCCCCTGAATGCTCATCTGATCGTAATTTAATGCCTGAAACCCCTTAGATTCTGGGGGCTATGCCCCCTTTATTGATATTTGTCATAAGACACTGTACTATCAAGTTGGATTTATTGATGAACGCACACTCTTTAGTTACCATAATATCTTGTTTCTACTCAAGATGGCCACTTTAAGAAAACTATTGCAAATTGCAGCCTACTCTTTTAAACATCTACTCCAAATTGTCAAGACTTCGAAGAATTGACTTCTTTCAATTAAAACTGGTCATAATTTTTAGACAATAATTAGCCAATAATTAGCCAATTTAACATTGTTTTATTATTTTTTTGGGGGGGTTGAGATATGTAAACATTGACCTTTTTCATGTAAGCTGTTAATATCGTTTTTTAAACGTTCATGTAGTTGTTATCACTATATGATGTATGATATTCTGACAAATAATAAAACGATACACTGCTTAATATTATAAAGATGAATCAACATGATTGTGATGTCCCGTGTTAACAGCTGTTTGCGAGAAAAGTGGCTGAACCTCGAGAAAATGGTTAATTGTTTTGGAAGTGGAATTCTTGCCAGCTCCTGTCATTTTTGTGTCTACTTTGCAGACCAGCATGCTCGAAGTAAACAAAAAACAAGGGCTGGCAAATTTTGTCAGGAGTACTGTGTTGGAATTGCAGTGAGAAAGTAGAATTTCAACTGATCAAAAAAATGTCAATCATGCCATGTTATCTTTATATTTAAATGTAGCTACTGGATAGGCGAATGTGGTACAGTACCATTGTAGCAAAATGGTTACAGTGGGATTCACACTGGTCTCCTAATGAAGACGATTCGTTGTACCATTCTCGACTCTTCATCCTTGTCTGAATTAAGTTTCCCCCCCCCCGACCCGCGCAAAGCGCGGAAGCTTTGACGTTTCATTTAATGATTAAAAAAAGAAGATTCGTTGTACCATTCTCAAATCTTAATCCTTGTCTGAATTCAGTTTTCCCCACCCTCCCGCGCGAAGCACGGAAGCTTTGACGTTTCATTAAATGATTAGAGAAAGAAGACGATTCGTTGTACCGTTCTCGACTCTTAATCCTTGTCTTAATTCAGTTTCTTTTGACGTTTCATTAAATTATTAAAGAAAGAAGACGATTCGTTGTTCCATTCTCGACTCTTCATCCTTGTCTGAATTCAGTTTCCCCCCATCCGCGCGAAGCGCGGAACATTTGACGTTTCATTTAATTATTAAAAAAAGAAAATTCGTTGTATCATTCTTAAATCTTAATCCTTGTCTGAATTCAGTTTTCCCCACTCTCCCGCGCGAAGCACGGAAGCTTTGACGTTTCATTAAATGATTAGAGAAAAAAAAAACGATTCGTTGTACCGTTCTCGACTCTTAAAGAGAAGGTTGAGTTCTGGGAAGAGGTGAAAAATAATTTGTGAGCGTTATCATTCTTATTATGCAAGTGTGGAAGAACATCAGATAAGACATTTTCCCTGAAAAGCATGGCTCTTCAAATGCCTTCATATTCTAAATATGTCATGTAACATCGTAAAACTCCGGGGTAGGATTATTACACCACGTGTTCGTGTAGTCCCATATACATCTTTCTGTGTACAGTGTTTGTAACTTTACCAAGACTTGGCCAAATTTCTTAACATTTTGATGATTCCAGAACCTTGCAATACACACAAGTTCTTATATGCTAGATGATCAACCTTTTCTGGTCGTTTCCACACCGTTTCTTTCACAATGCAATCGCGTGAACAGAACTCAACTTCATGATCCTTGTTTGAATTCAGTTCGAGTAATAACCATTGACTACTCTCATCGGGCTCTAATTAATTTTTCTCTTCATTTTTTTTTATGGTGAATTATTGGGGGGGGGGTGATTGTACAGGCCACCCCCCACCTGAAATACTGGGGGGATATATCCCCCCATCCCCGGGATCGACACCCATGGTTCCAGCACTTGTTATCTACTGGTCTCCAATTGGTTTCTGTATGGGTTCCTACTGGGCTTTGGATGGTCTCCTACTCGTTCACTTAGGATTTTCTACTGGATTTCTACTGGTCTTCTTCTGGTTCCAGTAACATTTTTTCTACTGTTTCTTTTTACAAAAAATGTTCCACTTTTCATATTGAAACCAGTAGAGAATTGACCAGTAGAAACCAGTAGAAATATGTTTTGGTTTTCTCTATTGGTTTTTATGGGAATTTCGATGAGGCACAATTAAATAATTAATTCTGAATCGGGCTCGTTTTCCTTCAAAAGACACTCTGCTGTCATTTC